GACAAACGATATAATACCCGATCATCAGAATGGTTTTTCGATCTGGAAGATCCTGTGTAACGAACTTACTCAGATTCCATGATCGAGACACAGAGATTTTACAAGCAAGGGATGGGTGGGTTGACTGCATCTATCTGGATCTAAAAAAGGCTTTCGACAGAGTTCCCCATAAGAGGTTGTTCTGGAAACCGGAACACATTGGAGGGGTGACAGGTAAGCTGCTAACATGGATGAAAAATTTTCTGACTGATAGAAAAATGAGGGCAGTAATAAGAGCAAGTGTATCGTACTGGGGAAATGTCACAAGCGGAGAACCTCAGGGTTCAGTTCTTGCACTGGTAATGTTCATTGTCCACATAAACGATCTACCAGATGGAATACAGAATTATATGAACATGTTTGATGATGATGCTAAGATAATAGGGAAGATAAGAAACTTAGATGATTGTCATGCCCTTCAAGAAGACCTGGACAGAGTAAGTATATGGAGCACCACTTGGCAAATGGAATTTAATGTAAGTAAATGCTGTATTATGGAATGTGGAATAGGAGAACATAAACCTCACACAACCTATAAATTACAGTATGTGAGAAATCTTTAAAGAAGTCTGATAAAGAAAGAGATATCTAGGGGTAGTTCTAGATAGAAAACTATCACCTCAGGATCACAGTAAGAACATTGTGCGAGGGCCTATGCTACACTTTCTAACTTCAGAATTGCTTTTAACCCCTTAACTGCGTTGCCTCCAAATATGACACCCCCGTAGTGCGCAGGAAATAAATTCTCTGGAAAAAATGTTTTTTTTTTTTTTAACCCTTAAATGGCGCATAGCTATATACCATTTGACACCCACAGGCGCATACCAAAAAAAAATATTTTTTCTTCCTAACCTGTTAATTTGTGTTCACTGATCACGGGAAAAATAATAAAAAAATCGTAAGTGGCATATATTGCCCACTATAGGGCGGGGAGCGTGACAAAAATCAGGCGCTGACTGAGCATGCGTCCCAGGTGGTCTGTTGATCGCCAGCTGTCAGGCCAGAGTTTCCACAAAGAGATAATTACCTAATTATTTCAATGTCTCTGATTGATTTTTCATAGTTTTTTTGCTGTAATATTATTCAATAGTGTGTAGTGTGATATATTTATATAATAAAATGAGTGAATCATCGCTGTACTCAAAAATATGGTGTGCATATTGTTGATTCAATTATGTTCATCAAACAGTGAACAAATACTTTGTCGGTTATTACACTATATACACAGGTTATATATGAGTATCTGCATGTTTTGTTCACCATGACGAACCACTAAGTTGGTATGGTGAGTGGCAGTGGCAGTGGCAGGCAGTGGCAGGCAGTGACTGGCTGCCACTGGCTGCCACTCCCTCCCTCACCTCACCTCACCTGACTTGCCACCATTTTCCACCCACCATACTGTTTTTGCTTTTATATGCAGACATTATATATAAGTATTTACATGTTTTGTTCACCATAAGTGTACATCTAAGCTTGTATGGTGAGTAAAGGCAGAGAGACGTAGCTACTCACACAGTCAGCTGGTGGCGGCCGCCCTCAAGGCCAGACGCACTAATATTTCTCCTACAACAATACTGTTTGTGGTGTTATTACGCTATATACACACATTATATATAAATATCTACCTGTTTTATTCACCATACTTGTACAAGTAAACTGGTATGGTGCCCAAAGACCATCGTGGTCATCAGTAAACAACATGGTAAGTCCTGCAGACGACGCTCATCCCTCACCAAAATGGCGGCTCCCAACCTCCTACTCTCGCTGTTATCTCACACTATACACACGTTATATATAAATATCTACATTTGTGTTCACCATAGCGAACCACTAAGCTGGTATGGTGAGTGCAGTCAATAAAAGGTGGCCACACACACTCTAAAGACAACGCCACCATCGTCCCTCCCACAGCATTACTCCTCCCTCCATGGCGCACAGCGCCAAATATCACCACAATCCTGCTATTATCAAAACCCTGGTCAGTTTTATCACAGTCAGGGGCCTTCTGTAATAATATCATCGCTACATAATAGCATGAACAAGTATATTATGGCATTTTTAGGCGATGCTGTGGTCACAAGCTGAACAGCAGTGCTATGAGCTCATGCTGCGTGCGTCAGGCTTGGTAGCTGACTCAATACTGAGGCCCCTAACACCCTGGAGTTTGGCCCACGATTTTTTTTTAAAATGGCGTCTGTTTACAAGAGCCCTGATGAAGGTGTGGTGAACCCCGTGTATCCGCGGGCCGTTTAAATCTTGCGTAGTACTCCAAAGCATCACATGATGCGATGCGCAATTTACTGCAAGTCGATCAAAGCATCATATGATGCGATGCGCAATTGAAGGGTTAAAGTGTCAAAAACCCTTCCCTCAGTATGGGTATGTAAAAAAAAAAAAAAAAAAAAAAAAAAAATGTACTTACTTTGGCTGCTATGGGGTTCGAAAGTTGGCGCGTGACGTCATCATTCCCCATTCGCCTGTGACGTACGCTCCCGGGGCCAGTAGGGCGCCCGGGGCGGGGCATGCGAGTTGCTGCGAATATATTTTTGTTCATTTTTTGCGCACAGTTCCAAATACATTTTATTTGTTTTTACATACTAATCCTATGTATAATGAACACGTACACTATATTATCACAGTAAAACATCCGTACTGTCTGAGGACACTGTGTTACGTGCATGACACTTGTGTATACATATGCTGCACATATTTACTATGTATCATGGTAATTTATGTATATATACAATCTATTTACACACTATACACTGTCACACATTATATACATTCACCATCAACACACTCAGAACACCTCGAGTGAGAGCAGCCACACTCAGCCAGTCTCCCTCACTCCAACATCTTACTCGCCAACATTTCTCCTCCCACCATTCTGTTATTGTTCTTATTACCCTAATTACATATGTTATATATACCTATCCACATGTTTTATTTACCAGAACTATGCAAGTAAGCTGGTATTGTGTCCAAACAGTACACTGGCCACCATACACTGCATGAAAAATCACACAGCAGACAGCAGACGACGCTACGATTACTACGTAACCTCCCTCACCAAAATAGCTCCTCTCAACATTCTCTTGTTGCTGTTATTACACTATATACACACTGTATATACACATGTACATATGTGTTGCCCATAGCGAACCACTAAGCTAGTATGGTGAGCAAAACAAGAGCGGCTGCCACACACACACACACACACAGAGGTTACCTCAATTCTCTCCCTCCCTCCCTCACCAAAATTCCTCCTTCCACAATACTACGCACAATGCTAATTATAACCACAATCCTGCCATTATCACAATCCTGGTCACTAATTCCTGGCAATGAATAATTGACCACATGTTTATTTTGAAAAGAAACCTAAGAAATCATTTGAAGATTCCTAGATGGACGAAATAATGCTGTGGTGCTGTGGCTAGCGCTGTAAACATCGTGAACAGCATTGAATCACTGATATTTGAACATTGTACCCAATCATTATCACACTCAGGCTATTCTATAACACTATCATGGCTAAATAATACAAGTTATATATATATTTTGACATTATTAGGCGATGCTGTGGTCACACGCTGAACAGCAGTGCTGTGCGCTCATGCAGCGAGCGCCAGCCTTGGTTGCTCACACAGTACTGAGGCTCCCACACCTGGGAATGTGGACAATAATTTTTTTTAAAGATGGCGTCTGTTTACAAGAGCCCTGAGGAAGCTCATGTGAACCCCATGTAGCCGCAGGAGTTTTGAATAGAACGTGAAAAATACAAATACCTGGAGGCGCGTTGCGCAAACCAGACGTGAGCCTGCAGGCGCGTTGCGCAGTTTAAGGGTTAAATACATAGATAACAAAACACTAAAGAAATTGTTCACAACTTTTGTTACACCAAAGCTGGAATATGCAGTGGTTGTATGGTACCCGTATCTTAAGAAGCACATCAACAAACTGGAAAAGGTGCAGAGACATGCCATTAAGTGGCTCCCAGAACTGAAGGACAAGAGCTACAAAGAGAGGTTAGAGGTATTAAATATGCCAAAACTAGAAGACAGAAGAAAAAGGGGGTGATATGATCACTATGTTCAAATAGTATCAGGAAATGATAAAATTGATAGGGAAGATTTCCTGAGACCTGGAACTTCACAAACAAGAGGTCATAGATTTAAACTAACTAAACAAAGTTGCCGAAGAAATATAAGAAAATTCACTTTTGCAAACAGAGTGGTAGACAGTTGGAACAAGTTAGTTGAGAAGGTGATGGATGCCAAAACCGTTAGTAGTTTCAAAGCGTTATATGACAAAGAGTGCTGGGAAGATGGGACACCACGAGCGTAGCTCTTATCCTGTAACTACACTTAGGTAATTACACTTGGGTAATTACCAGTTGATTGATGGTTGAGAGGCGGTTACCTTGAGACGATTTTGGGGCTTAGCGTCCCCGCAGCCCGGTCATCGACCAGGCCTCTGGGACCAAAGAGCCAAAACTCAACCCCTGCAAGCATAACCAGTTGAGTACAATATTTTCATACAATATCACATACAATATACACAGAGAAATCACAGAATTGTGATATATCAATGAGAAAATCCACTGGAGCCATGATGAGGATTTGAACCTAAGTGCTGTGTATTCCCAGATGCACACTCTAAACGACTACACCACAACATGGTCAAAAGAATTGCAATCTGGTGTACTGCTGCACCCTCAACCCAAACCAGAATTTCACACAATTCCTCCATGCACTCCGACTCTGTCGTCCAGTAATTCTATCTCTGATAATACCCTCTTTCAATACACAGAGGAATCACAGTAGCTTGATATATCAATGAAAAATCAACAGGAGCCATGATGAGGATTCAAAACTTGTTACCATGAGGGGTTGTTACATGTAACAGGTGCACAGTCCCAGGGTAAGGCAATAACATTTAAATTTCAACAGTTTTCTTACCTTCGTTTACAGTTCATAGGACATACTTTACTCCAACATTTACTAATTGGATCAAAAACTTCTACTGTAGCTAATCTGTCTAGTCCATTATAGCCACCAATGGCATAAAGTTTCTTCTTCATAACCACAACCCCCACTCGAGATCGAAGCATGGACATGCTCTCTGCCATTTGCCATCTACCAACAATAGGATCATACACCTCAACAGTGCTCAGAGAGTCTCCTGAAATTAAAAAGAAAACAAAATATTAACCACAATCTGAACTTATAAATACAAAATGCTGTTGGCATATAGATAGCAAAATACTGGTAAACCTTGCTATTACAGTGATGTGGTCCAGTCAAGAATGCATCTCCTTGGACCATACACTTTATTGTTATTAACCTTATATAAAATATTGAGATGCATTAATTTTTCAGGATATAAAACCCAATATAAAATTTTCCACTACAAATAACGTATCAGGGATACGGCTGTAGGTGTCCTACAGTGATGTGTGCAGCTGGTCACTAACATAAGATCCTGAGTAACAAATCTACTGAGTTTTTATGATAGGAGCCACAAAGATTCTACAGGGAAGAAATGAATGGGTTGACTGTGTTAATCTGGACCTAAACAAAAATGCTTTTGACAGATTCCCACACAAGAGGTTGTTTTGGAAACTGGAACATAATGGAGAGGTGACAGGCAGATTGCTGACATGAATGAAAATTTTCTGCCAAAAAGATGAGGGCAGTGATGAGAAGCAATGTTTCAGACTGGAGCAGTGTCACTAACGGAATAACACAGGGTTCACTTCTTGCACCAGTAAGGTTTATCATCTATATAGATGATTAACCAAAAGGAATAAAAAATTATATGAACATGATTGAGAAGATACTAAGCTACTACGGAAGATAAGAGATTTACAGGGTTGTTATGTCCTTCAAAATGACCTAGACAAAATAAGTGCACTGAGCAATACTTTGGCAAATGGAATTCAATGGAAATAAATGCCATGTTATAAAATGTGGACTAAGAGAAAAGAGGCCACAAACAAGCTATAAATTATGTGGAAAGGCATTAAAGAACTTTGACAAAAGAAAGAGATCTAAGAGTAGTTCTGGATAGCAGACTGTCACCAGAGAAACACATTAACCCTTGCGCTGCTCTGGGCCTTAGCCTCCAAGCTGCTAAGGGCTATTTGGCCTTTGACACTCATAGGCACATACAAAAGAAAAAAAAAAAAAAAATCTTGTTCTTATAAACCTGTTAATTTGTGTTCCCTGATCACAGGAAAAATATTTAAAAAATCGTAGGTGGCATATTTTGGCCGCAATAGGGCAGGGAAGTCTGGCAAAAAACCAGCGTTGAATGTAATGAAATGCCATTTTCTGGGTGAGACCCGAAGGCTACCCGGAGCTATAACAGGCTGATATGCAAATGTCAGATTTTGGCATCAGTCATGTGTATGGAGTTCTTAGGGCCTATCGGGGACCACGGCCAGAACCTGGCCTCCTCAGTGAGGCAAGGGGAGCAATGGCCTATAGAAAACCCTGTGTGGTTGGAAGCATTCTATGTTTGCCATCGACCAGATCAAGCATCCAGAAAGGTAAGCATCCCAAAACAAACCCCTATTCTGGTTAAAATTGCTACCTAAAGCCAAACTAGCGGATAGAACTCCCCAACAGAAAACAAGAAAACTAGTATGACGTCACACGTTACCGCGCCACTGTCTGCACAGCTCCCCTCTCCCCGGGAGGGGGGAGTGGGAGCCCCAGACCTCTCACGCTGGCTATCCACCCATCTGTTCTTCGGCTGATGCTAGAGGCACCGGTCATGTGCTCCGGCTCCGGTGGTTGTTTCAGCACTGTACCTAGAGTGTGGTGACTGTCTTCTAGGTGGTCCGTGAGTCGGGAGTGGTTCTCCAGTACTCGGGCTGCATGTGCCTAGGGTTTCCTTCCCTAGGTGCCCTGTAAGTACTGCCCTTGGGGGTTGGGGCCACCTTCCACAAGTTCCTTGGGTTCTGCCCTTGCTAGGCCGTTTACTGCTTGGTTTTCGGCCACCCTTTATGTGCTTGGGTGTTCTGTCTCCCTTGTTCGTCTTTGGGTGAGGGGCAGTTTTGCACTGGTGGGGCGCAGGGTGCTGCGCAGCTTGTTTTCACCGATCATGGCGGCCGGCTTTGTTCCGCCTGGTTACGCTGTCATCTTGCGAGGTTTTCTTTTTCTATTTGTTTATCAGCCTGGTGGGGGGTTTGCCTTCGTTCTTGCCCCGTGTTCCTTGTGCTCTGAGTATTCTTCCTTCTTACGGTGGTTACCCCTGCTTGGTCCCCGTGAGTGCACACGTCCTGAGGGTTGAGTTCTTAGAAGGCTGTTTGGTAGCTTTGGGCGCCGGTAAGCAGTACCCTGCCTGGGATTACCTGAACGCGAGTCCTATTATAATAAAAGTTCAGGACCCTGGGAAACCCCTGGGGCCCATGGGTCTGTTGGATGTGACCCCGGAGTCCCCCCTCGCTTCCAGCAAGTTTGAGGGTTGCTCTCACCCCTTGTCTCAGGGTGACTCTCTGTCTTTGCCCCCGTCTGCTGCCTGTGGGGTCGGTGACACCTTCGACCCAGAGTCCTGCGAGTTTTCTTGCTTGTTGTGGCTCGGTTACCCAGTTTTATGCTGACTGTGCCGGTGCAGGCAGCACGGGCGTTGCATGTTAAGCTTCGATGGTGGCAACGCTCTCAGTTGTTTGCTCCCCGGAGGCCCCGAGGCTGCCCCGTTTTGGTTGGTGTTGGGGCTTGGGGATGTTCGTTGTTTTGGTTCCTTCCACGCCCCCATGTCTTTCCCCTGTTGCGATCTATTCTGGTCCCCCCCTTCCTACCTGGATCCAGATCCCTACCGTGGGTGGGTTTGGGGCAGGGCTTCGATGGTTTTGAGACTCGGGCAATCTCGGGGGATTCCCCTTCCCGAGTAGTGATGGGAGCATTCGAGCCTGCTCCTCCAGCCGTATTTTAAGAGTCTGCCAGTGGGCTCCCTTCCTTAGTATTTTCGCAACTGCCCCGTTTTTTTCTTGTGAGGCCGGAGCTTTGGGGGAATAAACCTGGTGTTCCTCTTCGTCCTATCATTTCTTCACGGGGCTCTGTCAGCTATCCTCTTGCCTCCTGGCTCGCTAAAACCCTGACACCTTACCTTGGCACTTTTTCCCCTGCCCACCTTCGTCACTCTCAGGACTTCATAGAAAGACTGCGCCTGCAACCCTCTTGTAAAATGCTTAGTCTTGATGTCGACTCTCTGTTCACTAATGTTCCGCTCGATAACGTTCTCTCTTTCCTCAGACAGAAGGCGTCAGAGGGTCTCTTTCCTCTCCCACTTCCCACTGACGTTTTCCTCGATCTCATTAGACTCTGTGTTGAATCTAACTCTTTCTCTTTCAACGGTAAATATTACACTCAAACTTTCGGTGTCGCTATGGGTTCCCCTCTCTCCCCTGTTCTTGCTAATTTCTACATGGAATACTTCGAAACTGTTCTTCTTCCTTCTATTGATACTCGTCCCTCTCTCTGGCTTCGCTATGTTGATGACATTTTTGCTTTATGGCCTCATGACCTTAATCTTTTCCAGCCTTTCCTCGCCTCTCTTAACAATCTGGCTCCTTCTATCCATTTCAAAGTTGAGTGGGAATCTAATTCCCTCCTTCCTTTTCTTGATGTTCATGTTCACAGCTCTGTGTCTGGGTTCTCTTTCTCTGTCTACCGTAAACCCATGCATAGTGGCATGTACATTCACTTCTTTTCCTACCATCCTCTTTCTGTTAAGAAAAGTGTCCTCGTCTCTCTCTTCCTCCGCGCTCTACGCATCAGCGACCCTCAGTTTCTTGATTCTGAAATTGCCTTTATCTACAAATCATTCTCTCGCCTTGGTTATCCTTTGCATTTCATCAACTGTGCCCACTCTCAAGCTAAACGAAATTTCTTTCATCCTAAACCTGCTTCCAACACTAGTAGCACTGTACTATGCCTTCCCTTCATATCTGAACTCAAAACTTTTACCAATACCTTTCGTCCTCTTGACATTAAACTCGCCTTTCGACAAACTAACACACTTCGTAGCAATCTAGTTCACACTGCTCCTCCTGCTTCTAATGCTACTGGTGTCTACTCTATTTCCTGTTCATCTTGTCCTCTCCAATACTTTGGCGAAACTGGCCGTACACTGAATGACAGACTTAAAGAACACAAGAGAAGTGTTATGTCTGCAGACACTAACAATGCTCTCTTCTGCCACGTGAGGGATTCTAATCATCCCATTGATTAGTCTTCCTCCAAAATAATCTTTCCTGCCTCTACTCTACACAGACGCCGTCTTGTAGAATCGGCTCTTATTAACAATGTACCCAACATGAACTTGAGTCCTGGCTTTGTTGCTGTGGACTCTTCCCTTTCACAGTATATACTCAAATGCTCTAATCTTTCTAACAAACGTGACTTAACATAAGCTTTCCCCCTTCCATTTCTTTCTTTCTCTTTCCCTTTCTTTCTCTCTTCTCCCTTTTTCTGTTCATTGTCTTCTCCTACGCTCCCTTGCTATCCTCTTCTTATTCCTATTACTATCTCCTTCGGTGGTTATAATAGGAGCTGCCTTGTATGGGCCAATAGGCCTGCTGCAGTTCTCATTACTACTATCCCCTACACCTGACTTTCCTCCTCAGCTCTCTCTTGCTTATTTAATGCCTGTCCTACCTGTCCTCATCACAATCGACTTGAGAGTGGTCCAGGACGGACCGAAACGTCGTCGTCCCTTCAATTTCTAGTGTGTGGTCTGGTCAACATACTTCAGCCACGTTATTGTGACTCATCGCCTGCATTTGGGGGAATGGCTCGGCCCCGGGGCTGAGGAGGGGCTGACTTGGGGGACTTGGTTTTTCTACCTTCTAAGTGGGGCATGAGGTTATGCGGAGTGGGGTTTTTTCCTCCCCCCTCACCGTACGAGTTGTTGGGTGTTGGCCCCTCCCCTGGCTCGGTTCCTTGTCCTTTGAGTCGGTTGGTTCCGTCCTGTAGGTGGGTGCTCTTCTCTGTTATTCCCCCCTTTTTCCTTGGGACGGGATATCTCCGTCATGTTCCCCTCTTTTTGGGGTTCTACATGACTTTTGGTCTCGGGTGTGACTGTGCCTTTATGTGCTTTCGTGACTTGTTTGCTTCTGTGTTTTCGAGGGTTCAGGAAGGTTTTCGCTACTTCCCGTATTATTGGAATGTCTGTCG